AAAATTTTATATATATATATATATATATATATAAACAAAGGTTTTTACCACATGATGGCGCGATCGAAGCCGTTGTAAAGTACACCTTTTTTTTCCCTTTATTGAATCACTCAAATTCAACACTTCACAGTAGCCAGGGGGTGGTTGTAAAGTACACCTGTGACGTAATGAGATGAGTATTACTGCATCATTGTGTCTGTGTTGCTGCAGAACTTCATTGCTTGATGGTATTACTGCTTGTTAAATTTTATTTGTGCACTCATTTTATAAAGGTAAATGCAGCATGTGATATAATCAATAAGCTCCAAGAAGCGTGATCTACAGTGATGTTATAGAGCAGCTCAGGATCATTGTAGACACAACGCTCCTAAATAACTCGTAGCTGTTCTAAAATCACTGTAAACCACTGTTAATTATGCAATCTAAGAGAAAAGCCTCAGTGCTTCATTTTGCCATCACTATCATTTTGTTTCTTCTTATTGACTTTTATAACAACGATTTCGACAATTTTAGCAATGAAGTCAATGTTGAAATACTTAAGACGATATGTGCACACAATAAACTATACAGTTTTCTCTTGTAACCTTGAGGTAAATTCAGTAATGAATGATTAGTAAGAACCCAGTTCAGACAGGTTTTCATCAATTCATTTAATTTGATTGTAAATCTGTTCTGTGTAGGAGGGAAGTCAGACTGTGACTGTGAGGCTCATAACTGCAGCACAGGAAGAAGCCCTTCACCTACTAAACAAACACAGATGAAACAAAACAGCCACTGTTGCACAAGATCTTTGTCCATCTAACAGATCAAATCAGATTTCTGATGAAAACCGACCACAGCAGCTTTCAGTTTGATTCAGATGTTTAGCTGCTCGTGCCATACCTCAGTAATAAGACTGGCGATAATATCAGATGATCTTTGTCATTTGCAACAACTGAATGATTATAAAACATTTTAATATCCATACGATTTGAAACATCTTAAACTCAAATTGTCTAATACAATATACACACAATTTTACACTTGTCTATTATGTATCTAACACAGTCAGAAAACTAACTTTCACTGAAATGATACCAATGTTTTTCATTTTTCCACTATCAAAAACAAGTCTTAATAAGAGCCAGAAAAACATTTATATGTTATATTTATACTCAAAACACACATTCATGGTGTGCATGTGTGTGTGAACTAGGAGGGCCAAACTCTGTCGTGGGAGGATTCACATCAGATTGATTTTTATCAGCAGATAGTCTTATTATTGCATCAGACTTTTGACTGAACAATTGAAGACAATGTTTCAGACACTTGGTTTGTTCTGTTTGTGTAGTTGGCATCTGATTGGTAAGTTACAAACACATTTTTATGGCCTAATTTCTTCCTGTTTTACAGTAATAACGCTTCTGCTGCTGTTTTTAGCGAGCCTGTTTTAATGCGTCAAATACAAAAATATGAAACTATTGAAAATGTCAATTGACTAATTGACTTGTCCTGTAACTGCACATAGTTATATTACTTTACAAGCAGATAAAACACATTAAAGATCAAATGACTGGTTCACATTGTCTGTTCATGCATATCAACTTTCTTTTGCGTCTCTGATCCTATTCTTCAGTTCGTGTTTAAAGGTTACATTCAACATCTGATTTCAGGCTTTGTAAACCATCAGGAGCCTTAATCTGTGACAAAACATGTTCTCCAGG